GTGTATAGTACACATCCTTAGGATTTTCCTAAAATAAACATGTAGTCCCTAAATTATGTTTTTGTTACTTTAGTTACTAAAGTTTTTTGTTTCATCAATTTGATCCCGAAACATTGAGGATGAAGATGAAACATATTCTTACAATATTGAGGGATGAAATTGACAAAATTGAAATTTTAATGACGAAAATAACACAAAATATATACTTTAGGGACCATAGTTGAAATTTATAATTATTCCATCAACCATTTAAATAGCCACTTGGAATTTATCCGACTTGACTTGAATTGAAAACTCTACGGGCGAAATTGACAAAATTAAAATTTGAAGGACCAAATTGACATGATAAGTACATTTTATTGAAAATAAAATATTTAATATAATTTTTCTAACAAGAAAATTTGCCATTATTTAATTAAAGTTCAAGTAGTGATTATAAAGTCAATTTTCATTCAAATTTTCTAATAAGAGGTAGGTCACAAAAATTGGACAAAGGCAGTCCACTAGGACCAGCCAAGTCTTACAAAGATCCATTCACTACATATCTCCCTCCAATTGAACCTGTGTTTTCTAAAATGAATGCCTCCTTGGCCCTTGGAATTATTTTTACAGTTTCGTAAAAGTGTTTTACAGTTTTATGTCAGCATAGAAGGGAGAAATTATTCAATAATCTCGGAACATTATGTGATTATATTCTAAGTCAATCATCAATTACTTAGCCCCATATTGTTTCCCTATTTCCAACATAAATCGTGGGCCTCTACCCCTCTCTATCCATCAAAACATTATGGAACACTACGTGTTCATATTCTGAGAATACTGAATAATCACCCTATAGAAGGTCAATTGGCAATTTATCTTAAATTATTATTATTATTTTGTAATTTTTTGGCAAAGCCTAATTTTTTTTTATTTATTTTTTTTTTATGGCAACACCTAATTTGGTAACTATATCGTGTGTGTCCTCAATCAAACACAAGTCAATTAAAACGAATAAGTTTTATTTACATATTTTTGTATGTGTGTTTTTGGATCGATTAAAAGGTATGAGAGGCGAGTTGTGCACGGACAGGGGAAGTAACCCCACTTGTGTGTGACTATAGTAGCTTCTATCCGTTTTAACATGGGAAAATTGTTACAAAGATGATCTCTTAAAGTTTGTCCACATATAAATGGTTAGATGATTATAAAATTGTATACATGTCATGAAATGAATTATTATCCAACAAAAATTTTGAAATTTTTTATTTTTCGTGTATATTTTTTATTGTTCACATATGCATTTTTTTAATAATGTGCTTTCATATATTATAGCATATAAGAGTTTTAAAGACTATTTTTTTAGTCTTTAAAAGTAAAAAATTTTGTTGGAAAAAGCATTTAAGGGACCAATTTTTATCGTCGTGAGGATAATTGCTAAAATGTCGTTTAGAAAAGTAAAAAACAAGACTTTTAAAGAAAAAATTAAAAAAATGGCACTAATAAATACATTTTTAGAAAAAAAATAATTTGATCCCAAAAGAGTTTATTTTTTTAGACAAAAATTTTGGTTAATTTATCACTAATGTCCATTTTTTGTTGGTAAAAATAGAATGACACTTTGGCAAAAAAATATTTGGTTCCTATAACGGAATTTTGTTCATAAATTTTTTTTCTCTAAAATCTTAATTTTTTGTAGTGATATATGCATTGTATACATGATAAGAACTTTCATACATAAATGGTGAAAAATCTTAAAAACCCCTTGAGATATTGATTTATAATTATGATTTAATTTTAAATAATGAAAAATAATTTCAATTAAACAATCAACAATAAATCGGCAAAACGATTTAATATGGAAAAAATCACAATTGAACTCCTCTAATTGTGATAAAAAAATCACGATTCAAAATCACAAAATAATCTACTAAAAAGACAAAAAGAATTACATACGAGAACCCTCAGTTACCTAACAAATCCATAGCTGAATTGAATCGAACCCGATGTATCTCGTCCACCACTATCTTCACCTCAAAATTGCTTTGCCTAAAATTGAATCTACAATGCCGATATCGAATTCACAACGATAAGCCACTCTGGAATCCACCAAAACATCAAGCTCAAGTTCTCCAGAATCTACCGATGACGACCTCTCTCTTTTTGTGAATGAAAGAAGAAAAATAACCCGTGATGATAATCAATATGAAACTCGCTGATGAATCGATCACCCTCAAATCATCAAGGAAAACAATACATAAACACTTTCTAATATAAAACACTTTGTTTCTTTTCCTCTCTAAGAGAGTTCGACCCTAAAACGTGCAAACGACGCACTTTATACTAAACAGAACCACGAAAACCGCTCGAGCGGTTACTTTACCGCTAGAGTAGTGAGACTAAAGGCGATACTCACATATAGGCTAACAGCTTGAGCGCAACAGCTACCGCTCGAGTGGTAAAACATATTTCCCAGAATTTCAAAGCACAGACAGATATACTGGATGAACTACTTCACGGCTCGATCCCCATGCTTAGTCAGTGAAGTGGTAAATAAGGAATGCTCAAGTCAAGATAGGGAATGTTAGTACAAACTCTTCTACACAAGCACAACTTGGGTTGGATTTGCATATAAACTCTTATAGCTCACAAATACAATAAAGTGAATAAAAATACCACTGAATGAAATTTTTATCTAACGAAATTGTTGTTGGAAAATAGCTTTAAAAAATCTTATTTTTTGCTAACTTTGAGCATTAGTTAAGGTGGGACCCAAGCGTTATTTTTAACGCTTCTCATTGGGTTCGTATTTAATGTCACGTAGTGAATAATATCGTGCATTTGGTTGCTCAAAACCATTTCTGGATGAATGGGAATTCAACGTGCCTTTTCGGGTTTGTAGAAATGGCTTTAGGTGGGTTTTCTATACATTTGTGAAATGTGTTTATTCCACATTGGAAAGGCTTAAGGAATTGTAAGGGTTTATATATTCTAACTTGGGATACTTGGAATGGGTCCCATGGGATACCCAAGTTTGTGGAAGGGTGAGCTTATGGGTAAAGTGAGGTAGACCTATTAGATCCAAAACAAAAACCACACGCGTAGGCTGGATTGGACCTGGGCGTTGACGCGGGTGCATGGTGTGAGATTGGATTGGGCTTGTTCGACCCAACACTTATCCTTTTTGGGCCAAAAATATTTGTAATTTATTTATTTATTTTTAATTTTGGTTTCAATATTCAAGATAAATTGGTTCAGTTTTTTTTCCTTTACCCAAACAGATCACAAATAGATTTACCCACCCAAACAGGTTCATACCTATTGAATTCAAACCGGACAAATCTGTATCTGTCCAAACAGGGTTTTTCTTTCATTGAATTTGTCCGAACATTTGCCTATCTGTTGGCATCTATTTGGAAAAGCCATTTGCTTTTCTATATAAAGCCTTTCATTCTAGCAATTCATTCATTTTCGATTTTGATTTACCCACCCGAACAAGTTCATACCTATTGAATTCAAACCGGACAAATTTGTATTTGTCCAAACAAGGTTTTTCTTTCATTGAATTTGTCCAAACAGTTGTCTATCTGTTGGCACCTGTTTGGAAAAGCCACTTGTTTTTCTATATAAAGCCTCCCATTCCAGCAATTCATTCATTTTCGGTTTCTCTCAATTTTTCGTCTTTCTTCTTCTCTTTCCATTTTTTTTTTTTTTTTTTTTTTTTTATTCTTTGCATTTTTCTTTTTTTTTTTTTTTTTTGCGTTTGTTCTGCATTTATTTTGTAGGAAGAAAAAGAGAGAGTCACAGCAAAGTTTTGGTTTGCAAGACTTGATTTTATAGTGCTGCAAATCAAGTAGTAGTCATTGCATCTAGGGAAGTAGACATCGTTAAAACTCAAAACACTGGAGCGAGGACGAAATCTACCTTAAAGAGATTGTGTTCAACACAAGTCTCGACGTTTAAAGTTTCTGTAAACAATTAATTCGGAATTTAATTGATATAATTATTTTCTGAATTATTTTATTTTATTGTTCATTTTAATTATACGTTTAATTTACATACACATCACTGTAGGGATAACAATTGTCAATTACAAAAATCGAACAACAGGTTAGAAGGACTTTCAGGCATTTATCATCATTATTGGCAAGCTCAAATCTATCGCCATCTTATCTAGATCATGGACCCATCTATTTACTAATTTTATCACCATGTATACCAAGTCTCTCACTTATATATTTTCTATCTTTTCAGGTTGTTTGAAGAAAAAGTGGTGGTGAATGAGGCATTAAAGGGTATTTAGTGGCACTAGAAAAATTAGTCTTTAAATTGGTAAGAAAGAAGATTTTGGAGTCAACATTGCCTAGCATGCATACATTTAGCACTGAGCACAATATCAATACACTTGGCTGACTAGCGCCAGAACCAGGAACTTGTCTTCGGCAGTGCTAATTCAGCATCTCATCCACCCCTTCCCTATGATGTCCGTTCTCTGTCCCTCAGTTAACAGTACCTCCTTTTTCTTTTCTCAGATCTCTCACACAAACAAAAGGGCATACACGCACAAAATTCAAATTTGCGATCTTTCTTACACAATTTTTTTGTGTGGGTATAGTTACAAAGGGCCATACCACAAGAAATGTCTTAGTTATGAACCAATCTAGTTATGTTACGAATCTAGTGATTATGTTGTGAATATTATGAAGTGATGAATTTTTGTCGTAAGCAAAATTATGAAATTTTGTGGTTTAATTACGAATCATTGTGATCAAATCACAAAATGACATACAATATACACATTTTTTAAGGGTGTGCATGATATAATTTGTCTTTGTGGGCATATATATTGTATATAACATGAGAAAAATAGAGAGAAAGAGCAAGAATTGTTTGTATAAAAGATAGGACAATGGGGTAATGAAAAGAAACCGTGTCCTATTAAGATTTTTTTGATGGGCAAAGAAAAAATTTCATCAAAAATATAAAATTAAAATACAAGAAGGTAAAATTGAGAGAGGTTCTAAGAGTAAACATCTCTTTTACTACTGATGGAAAGCTTGATTACAGAGAAGTTAAACTTTGAATTGAATTCAAGAAACATGTCCTCCACAATTAACTAATTATGTAATTTTACAATTCTTCAACATCTAAAAGCACATTTGATACATACCAAAAAAACAACAAGGATCACTTAAAGTTGCTAAAAACTCCACCAGGAAATGTAGGGAGAAAGTATGTACGTCAACCATGGAAATCAGTCGAGTCATCTATATATAGGTTAATTATACTTTACTTGCTCAATTATTATTAAATATCATTTTACTCCCTCAATTTTAAAACTGTACATTTAAACCCTCTCCGTGGAGAGGGTGAAAATCAAGTAATTTTGATAATTGAGAACTTTAAATGTACGATTTTAAAATTAAAGGACTGCAGATAATATTTAATGATAATTGATGGAGTAAAATGTAATTAATCCTATATAATATCTTGCTATTTAGGATGCTAGAGCCAGCTGAATTTCTCCCTCGCTAATTGGTAGAAAACCCACTCGCTTCTGCAAATATTGAGCAAATAAAACAAGAACATCAGTGGAAGGCGGAGGTTCTTTTGGATCCCTTTAGAACAATTAAAAGTACTTGAATTAGAATGGTTGATAGTTTGAAACTCTATTACAACAAGCATTGGTGGGGCTAAATGGGCAGATGAATATGTTACCTTGTTGGAAAATTCAAATCTCTAACTTTAATTATACAGGAATATGTCTCAATTAAAGATATATACATCAAAGAGTCACCACCACCACTTGATCAATGTATTGATGGAACTTGGGCCTTTTTTGGTTTGTATTTGAGAAACATGTTTTGAGGTAAAAAGTACGAAAATTTGTTTGGTTTGGTTTTTTTTCAAAAAATGTTTTGAAAAATTATTTTGAGAGAAAGTTTTGGAAAAAGTGATTGATTTGATGTGAAGGCGGAGGTTCTTTTGGATCCCTTTAGAACAATTAAAAGTACTTGAATTAGAATGGTTGATAGTTTGAAACTCTATTACAACAAGCATTGGTGGGGCTAAATGGGCAGATGAATATGTTACCTTGTTGGAAAATTCAAATCTCTAACTTTAATTATACAGGAATATGTCTCAATTAAAGATATATACATCAAAGAGTCACCACCACCACTTGATCAATGTATTGATGGAACTTGGGCCTTGTTTGGTTTGTATTTGAGAAACATGTTTTGAGATAAAAAGTACGAAAATTTGTTTGGTTTGGTTTTTTTTCAAAAGATGTTTTGAAAAATTATTTTGAGAGAGAGTTTTGGAAAAAGTGATTGATTTGATGTATATGAGAGAAAGATTTGTTTGGAAAATTTGTAAGCCAAACAAGTTTTGGAAAAAAAAAATTAGGAAAATTTGTTTGGTTTGATTACTTTTGAAAACTTATTTGTAGAGAATTTTTCTTAAAATTTTTTTGAGAAACACAACCCAAACAAGGCCTAATTTTTGTTAGTCAAAATAAGTACCTAATTGTTTAGGTGATGCATGTCAAATGGAAGGACAAAGTCTAACCAAATCAGTTTATTTATTGGCTCTATAAAAAGGATAGGATAGCTAGTGCCCACTGGAGAAATTGTCAAGGTGGAAAGTTGTTACAAAGATAATAAAGTTTCTTTTTACATAAATGGTTAGGCGATTATACAATTACATACATGTCATGAATTATTACCCAACACAAAATTCTTTTTAATTTTTTTTTTTATTGTTCAAATGCAGTTTCCAATAATGTGCTTTCGTGATCAAAAGAATTGATATGACTGTAAAGTACCTTCACAAGGGTCCAAAATATTGATAGGAAGAATTAGGTATTAGTCCACATAAAGGGGTGATTGCTGTTGTCAAAATGTCTTCTAAATGTCCAAAGAGTCAGAAAGTTAAATAAACTGTGAACATTCCTTTTGATTATGATTTGCAAACTTCAAATTGCCAAGTCAAACAGTAGAGGATTAGAATATTTGAAACCTACTACTTTGTACAGTCAATCAATCATCATTAGGGTTTTGTAATCTATAATTGAGCCTCTTAAAGTAACTTACTGTACCAACTATAAACATGCAAGTGGTTTTGTCTTCAAAGTTACTTTTTTAAAAAATAAAAAAATAAAAATGAGGTGAGAAGAAAAAAGTTCTGATGTTGTGTTTGGATTTTGTTAAGGGTTTACGGCGAGAAAAGAAATGGGGAGGGGATTTGTGAAATAAATTTAGCCTACCTTCTATTTCAACAATTTTTCTTTCATTTTTTTAATCCACAAATCTAAAATTGAAAATATATATTGAACTAAAAAACTATTAGTAGGCTTCAATAGTTTGTTTGGTTTAATTGAAGATGCTAAAGTGGGTGAAAATGTTGTGTCCTAAAACTTTTTGCTCTTGTTTAAATTACTTGTTTCAAAAAAAAAAAAAAAAAAAAAAAAAAAAAAAAAAAAAAAAAAAGTTATTTCTAAAACTGCACTAATATATATATACATGTAGATGTTTTTGAAAAATAGTTTCAAAAAATGAAATCCTATGGGACCCTAAAACTCCCTCGTGCCATGATGTCGTTATACTAGCTATAATAACTCACTTGGCCCCTCCTGAAACTTGCCCAAACAAGGGACTAGTAAGAAATTAATGATGAAATGGCAAGTCTTGAAAGCATGATATAAGGAAATTTAATATACTTTGACAGCTTCAATTGCTTGTTTTTGTGTACCATGTTCTAATAGTATGTATGTAAGCACGACTTTCATAAGGGTAGCCTTCTTGGCCTATGTGTTCCTGTGATTATAGGATGGAATGGGGTTGGATAGGGTTTTGCTATTGTACACTGATGCCTGGGTTTTGCAATTGTACACTGATGCCTACGATGACACTGATATTTTTTTTAAATAAAATTTTAGGGGACAAGTAGTAAATTGTAATTTTTTTTTTTTTTAAAAAAATATTGAAAAAGATGAACTTGGATAATTTGAAAATGTTCTGAACTATAATGCTACTATAATAAAGGAGATATGCAAAGTCCAACCATCCCCTTTGGGTCCATCCCCTTTTTACAAATAAGCAAATATATATATATATATATATATATATTCATAAAGTAGGGGTGATTGGTGGAGCAGGAAAAAAAAGAAAAAGAAAAAGAAAAGGTGACCAATGAGAGAGAGAGGGGGTCAAAGGGGGTGGGGAAAAAAGGGGGATGGATCATTACTCATATATATATTCATAAAGTAGTAAGTTCAATTACTATTGATGGGTAATTCCATTTTTTTTTTTTCTTCTTTCATAACTTGAACACCATGCCTCCCCTTGGAAATCAAGTGGTACAACTACTTGAGCTAAGCTCAAGCAAATAGATATATACATAATCACATCTAAAGCTGATAATGAACAAGCAAGAGAATATGGGGGAATATGTAAGATGGAGAGAATCATGGCTTTAGCTTAAACTATGTTTACAAAAACCAAGCTGACTTAGGCAATTAAAAAAAGAGAGGGAAGATCTCATATGGATATTGATTTGGAAGAAAACATGGTTGATAAAGACTTGTGTTCTTTTGTTACAACTTAGAAGACAAGGTCTTTGAAATTTGGTTTGTTTATGTTTATAATTTATTTTATATTGACTCAAATGCTATTCGAACATGAATTTTGGCTGAATTTATGGGTCAAAAGGAAATGGAAAATGTCAAGAAATTTGGTACAAAACATGTGAGATTATTGTTTGTTTACAAACAAATGATAGCATGGGTAAAAAAATTGACAAATGAATTTGTAAATTATAAAACACGGCCTCCAAAATTTCTCAAAACGGAAAATAAATAAAAGTCAAATATTAGCTGTGTTAACACACCCTTAGGTAGGTGCAGTGGTTCAGTTTTGTTAGGGTTGAGAGGAAATTTAGCACTGAATCGAATTTTTTGATTTTGTCAGTTAAGGAACCGAGGCCAATCACATACTATGGTCCAGTTTGGTCGATTTAGTATAAATTATGAATTTTCAAGAGCCTTTAACACATTGGGGATAAATGAAGAGAGGTGGTGGAAGGTGGTGGGATGCTCTACATTATTGGTAATTTACTTCTAATACCCAAAAAAATTATTATATAAAAAGTATTTAATATTAAGATTTTTGTCAGTTTGGCTGGTATTAGTGAAAAAAAATTCAAAATCAAAACAAACTATAGTTTATGAAAAAATTGATCGAAAATCAAACTTTTGGTTAATCTTAGATTGTCGGTTTGTGAAATTAGAATAGAGATTTTTAAATAAAATAAAAAGAGAAAATAAAAGAGAAACATGACAAAAATTTACCTTCTAGTTTCACTTCTTTTTCCCTTCTTTGTTTTTATCATATTTTTTCCCCTCTTTCTTTCTTTCCATAAATCTCTTTGAAATTCCAAATCAAAACACAATCTTTCTTTATCATATTTATCATATTTTTTCCCGTCTTTCTTTCCTCGTTTTTATCATATTTTTAGTCTACCAGGTTAGCACAATCTCTTCATTTCCTATAGTTGCAGATTTTATAACACTAAAATAGTATAAACATACACATTGAACAAATTCCAATAAATAAATAAATAAGCATTAGACAAATCAAAAATGCCAAAAAGACTGAAAACCAGTGAACAGGCCAAGAAATATGGATCAATGTCCAAGGAGAAGAGAACATACCTCACGCCCCTTGAAACCATCTTTGACCACCTTTCCGTCGCCATCCTTCCAATGCAATTGTTGGTGGTGATGGTGCACCAACGCCCCCTCACTGCCCTTGGGCGGCACACCACCACCGACACCACCATCACCACCACCACCAGCACCGGCCGCCTTGTTTGCCAAGCAAAGATCCACAATCTTCTCAGCCACATCAGCCCCATCCCTACTCTCCATCATCAACCTAGCCACCTCCGCCTTCGGCAGTCTCATCTTCACTCTCCTCAATTCCCCGCTCTGAGCGGCCTCCGAACCTTGTCTCTCCTCCCCAATCACAATGCTTCTAGGTTTCATAATTGAAAGGTCAGAAGCTGACCTCCTAGCAAGCATTAGGCTCTCAAGCCGGTCCTTGGCACTCATGTTAATCCCGGACCGGACCCTTCTCGGGACCCTCTCTTCAGGAACCCTAGGCAACTCTACAAGAAAATAAAGCCTCTTTGGCTTCAATTCTTGCCATGGTTCTAAGGGCTTTGCTCTGATACCAAAATGCTTCACGGCCTCGGATTCCAACAAAACAAGCCCTGGATAGTCCTTGAGCACGTCACCAGCATGAACCGGTGTCTTGAATTTCATTGTATCACCATTAATCATCATGATCTTTGCAGTCTTCTTGCCTCCTAAAGTGTTACCCATTTGGATGAGCTCTCTTGGGTCGATCTTGGTACCCTTTTTGGAACTTGTTTGTTTGTTTTAAGTTAGAGATCAAATGATATATGGTTGGGTTTGAGATAGAGACATGGTTTTATGTTATTGGTATAAGTGAATAGTGTGATTTTGTGTTGTTGTTTGTTGGTCAAAGAAAGATTGCATAGTTTGAAAATGAAAAAAAAATTTGTTTCAGTAAAAAAACAAAAGATGGGTATGTATGTGACAACTTTTTTTGAGATCTATCTATCCAAAGGATAACTAAAAATGTTCTTTTTCTTTAATTTCATTTGATAATCATTAGACTATGCTTAAAAACGATATGCATGTTGAAAACTTCTATTGAAGCTCATTCAACGTAGGGACCCAGTACGGATTGAAAACGCTGCAAAAGCTTCCCCGTGATTGTTGGCAAAGTATTGCGCACATATATGAATTAGGCATAATTTGAATACAAGGGTCCCACCAACAAGTTTTGCCAGAAAATTTTTAGGAGAAATTCAATAAAATAAAATTAAAAAGAGTAAGATTTGATTATTATAATAAAATAAATTTTGAATTTTTTATTGTATCAATTTAAATTTTAAATTTATTTATTTGTTTTCAATCTAAACCAATTATCAAGTAAAACTAAAAGAAAAAATTGGTACTTTAGTCATTAAACTTAACTGAAAATGATATTTCAGATATTATATATATATACTTACAGAATGGTTTAGATTAAAAAAAATCAAAATATTAAAATTCAAATTGATAAAATTAAAAACTTTACATTTATTTTGTTATAAAGATCAAACTTTTAAAAAATCACGTGTTCATATGGCCCACTAATGATATTTTGTAGTTTGTTAACTATTTCTTTATTGTTAGGATTATATATTCATTTAGACTATTTCTATTGGATGAATACACCGTCAACACAGAATAAAGTTTTTAACTTATTTATGAATACAAGTGGTTTTTTCTGATCTACAAGATAATCTCTGCTCAAATCGATATGGGAATAACAAAAGTAGGAATCTGTCAAATGGTTATGCCCAATTCTGATTTCTATAGTCTTTTACACAATTTTATTTTATTTTCTTTATATTTTATTTTAAAAATACATAAGATTGTTGAATGGTGATTGGTTTGCGTCAAAGAAAATGACTTTGTATGGTGCGGTGTGGATTCAAGAAATCGTTGAGATTCCATTCATGATCTCTATCTTATTTGACTTTGATGGTAATTTGCAATTTTCCTGATGACTAATTCCTTTTTTGCTTTTTTTCTTTTTGAGAAACTTTTTCGACTTACGTACCAACCTTTTGCTTTTTATTTTATTTTATTTTATTTTAATCACAATCTTTTTCTGTTGTACCTAAAAAGAATAAATATTTACATGGCTGCTACGTAAAAGAGGTTGGTGGTATAAAAATAATAAGGCAAATTACATATATTCCCTTTCAGATTTGACTTTATAAATATTTTTTTAAAATTTGAAAAATTATAAATTTCTGCCTGAATGTTATATTTGCATAACAAATTAAGGAATAATTTGTTATGAAATTTAAACCTCAAGGAGCAAATTGTTATGAAAATACAAACCTTAGGGGGCGGGCTGTAATTTTCGAAATCTCAAGAGATATCTGTAATTTAGTCAAATCTCAAGAGAGGTATATGTAATTTGTCCAAAATAATAATAAGCTTTGTTCTTATCTTTATAGAGATAACACATTTCAATATGAAGCTTCTAATTTTAGTCCATATTTATATTCCGCTCATCATTTTGGAACTCCAAAATTTTCCTACACTTTCCAGGCCAAGAAAATTCTCTCTCCCCAATATCATGCTGCAACTAATTGTGCTACGTTGTGTGAAACTCAAATTAACTAGGAAATATGAATCATGAGTTTTGAGATCTATTTTTTATATGATGAGATTCATACATAAAATTAGGGGTTGTTTGGCATACACTATTTTAGTCCATCTTTTTATCTTTTTATCTTTTTTGAGTCACATCAATCAACATCTCATCTCTACTTTTCTACACATCTTTTTATAAAAAGTCAAAAAGTACACTTGTTGGGCAAGAGAGTTGATATAGTAATCTATGTAGTATTTCATGTGTCCTTTTGCACAACCTAATAATATAGTAATCTATGTAGCTGTCCATGTTTTCTGGCTTGTGTTTCTTGTGCTAGTTGTCATGCACGAAGCTTCTATTTGCACACTACAAAAATTTTCAATTTACACCATTTAATCAATTGTTCGGTTGCTGAAATTCAAGCAGTTGATTATTGTTTGGTAATTGATATTCAAACAAACAATATGGTGCGAACTGCGAAAATGAGCGGTGTGTAAATAGAAGCTCCCGTCTGCAATAGCTTCCTCACATGGAAATTACCTTTATGACCCAAACACTAGATATTAACAAAGCAATGCAAAAGCCTATAAAGCAGCTGATCTAATAAGAAAAGAGTGGTTTTTGCCCTACCCATCTCTTTTCATCTTTTCACTTTCCACTGTTTTAAAGGTTGAGCTTATAATTCAACAGAACCACACACACAAGTCAATTGCAGCATCAAACTTGTCGTCAAGTTTCCATTCACTACTTACAGACCAAGTTCGCTTAGCTTTCCCAATTTTCATTTGTAACTCTGATGTTTCGAAAACAAGTAAATCGATTTCAACTACTGGGAAATGAATTAAACATTTCTTTTAGTAAAAAGCGATTGAAGATATTTGCATGGATGCCCATAATTATAATTCTCATACTCAACAAACCAAAATAATAAACAGAAAAATGCTAATCCACAGTGATTATAACTGTATCCACAATCATCTATCGTGTTATGGTGATGTGAAGTTGTAAAATGTTCCTTATCAAATGGCTCCAAATACTACAGTCTGATAGAATTGAAACAGATGAATATAAGTAATACATTTGGTCAGAATAACTCTTCCAACACAAAAGGATCCAAACACAACTATACTTTGTTCACACATATGCATCCATTTCTTTGTTTTTGTTTTTGTTTTTTGAAAAGAAAATCTCTCTAGTGTTTCATTATATATATATATATATATGTATATATTTAATTTGTTCGTATATATAATTTTTCATTATATGAAATGTACCAAACAAAACAAAATGATCGGCAACCAATCACATAAAAAAAAAATTGAATTCTCAGATAGCTACAAAGACCATTACATATTATTGAGTCTTGGATTTCTAGAACTACAGTGTTATCATGGAGAATTAAAGATTTCCTAAATAATCAGGAAGACAAACAATACAACAGGACAGAACATTGTCTTTAGTTTATGAGATGTCCAATTTTTAAACCTGAAATAAAATAGCCTATAAAGCATTAAGTCAATGGTTTGAATATAAACCACATACTGAACAAGAGAGAGAGAGAGAGAGAGAAAAGGAAGAAAAAAAAAAGGAAGAAAAAAAAAAAAACACATACTGACTTCAGCAGTATATAAATCAAAAGGGGAAAAAAATGATAAATTCGCTTCCTTAAAAAATATGTCAACCAATTGGGAGTGTTCATATTCATCCCAGCAGTAAAAAAGAGAAGAGAACAGTCTTCTGTCTAGTAAAGAATTTTGAAACAAACAACAGATTGCATGAAATTTTATCACACTTGTAAAGAACACACAAGCAGCTATGAGAATAGGCTTGTATTCTCATGCTTATATACTCAGTTTTCACACCCAGAAAGGAATCATAACATCAATTGTGAGGGGGGAAAAAATGGAAAAATGAAAGGAAAAGAAAAAAAGAAAAGAGAAAAAGCCATAGAAACAACTAGTACCTGTTAGAGCTGTTGCAACTTTTGAAGATGCTCCAACAATGAAGTAGCCTTTCGCTTGGCTCTTTCAGTGCCACTCTTGGAAAGCTCGGTCAGAGGAATTACAGCACCAAGCCTACTTACACAAGCAAGATTCTGAGTGACTCTCTTGCATAAGGAAAGTAAAATAGCAGCTGCATTCTCTTTATTACGAGGCAAACCTGTCCTCAAAAGATCAATCAAGACCTGTATGGTGCTAGCTTTTGCAATGGCAATCTTAGCCTCTGGGTGGCTAGCAAGAACCGATAGTATAGTCAGAGCTTCGTCCACCATACAATCACTTGAATCGGTAAGCATTTTCAGTAATGCAGTGATAATCCCTGCTCTCATGGCCCTGCCTTTGTTTCCTTGATAAATACACAAATTAAACAATGCTGTTGCAGCATCTTTCTTCCCTCTTGCACTTCCACTCTCGAGCAATTCTACCAAAGCGGGTATCGCCCCCGATGCACCGATTATGATTTTGTTTTCATCTGCGAGCGACAAGCTAAAAAGGGTTGCTGCTGAATTCTCTCTTGCTTCCATGCTTCCAGCTTTAAGGACTTGTACAATCGATGGGATGGCATTAGCAAGCATTATGAGTCCTTTGTTGTTTTCGTATATAGAGAGGTTAAGAATGGAAGTGACTGAATTTTCTTGTGTTAAACAATCATCTGATATTAATAGGCTAACCAGCAGTGGAATAGCTCCTGCCTCTGCTATTAGTATCCTATTATCCGTGCTTCTTTTCGATAGTGATCGGATTTCGGAAACCGCCGCCCTGCGTTCCTCAATGGATTGGCTTGAGAGCTTGCGAACAAGTGCTTCAATGGCTGCTATGTCCCCACTAACATCACGGAACGATCCATCACTCTTTTTTATCCGCCCCGTCGTCAATGCCATTGGTTGTTCAATATTGTGCTTAGCACACCACTGGCTAATTAGGCTCCTCAAAACATAATTTGGGGTAAGCGTGAGATTTTGGAGTTTTTGCTGTGTTTTTGGGCACGTCGTGTTGCCACAATCTATCCATCTTTGTATGTATGATCTCTCATAAGTCTGTAAAATCAAGGAAACACGATGGTTGAGTTTTAAAATTCTAAAGAAACACTACATCAAGATGCAATAAATTAATTGATGCTTAAAAGCAATGGATCATACCTGTCCTGTGGCCACAATAACAGGATCTCTCATTAGTTCTAGAGATATTGGGCAATGAAAATCAACGGGAATGAGAGGAGAGTCAGGTTTTTTATTCTCCTCCATGTGATTTCTGTTTGTGTTTAATTTCCCACCAGCATCAACACTGTTATGTTGACAAACCTCAGACGATGCAGACGAGTTCTTTGGCCTTTCTGATTCATGATTTATTTGATTCACACTATGGTCTTTCGAACCATTGCCTTTTGGAATAGGAGGCACCTTCACTTTAACTTCATGATCAATATTACCGATATTTTTGACATGCAGACTTCCCATTACCCTACGGCCGAGTGGTTGCAGATCAATTTCTCTGTCTAGTGGCTGCGATAAGGCACGAGATAATATTGTTGAACTCAGAGGCCCACCACATCTTTCAGTGGCTCTTCTCAACTGTGCTCTCACCAATTGAACCTGAAAAGGAAAAATACAAAGGACATCATTACCAAGCGTTGGATTCAGCCACATCAGAAACACCATACAGAATTCAAATCCTACCTGTTCCTGAACTTCCTCTGAGATGTCAAACTGGTCATATGCTAAGTTTCCCAATGCTTTTTCTAATTTCCACGTCACACATTGAAACTGAAAGGAAATTTTCTTGGAAGCCAAATCCTTGAAGCAAACAAGAGTAGAATTTAGATGGCCAAACAACAATACTTCGAGAATATCCCAAAAGAATTTCTTCAACATTAAGTGTTTTTACAACTAACATGCTCATTCAAACCTCCTTATTTTAGATTTGTAGAATGAATGATATGCTTCACAATCTCCAAATTGCTAGCATAAATTTAAAATCTACAAGGGATAAGCAGACTGTAAATAATTTAAAGAACTAATATACACATATGTGCACCAAAACACAAAAACACGCTCGATTGTGCTGCTGTAGCTGAAATCATAGACCTTCCTATTTATTGCTCATTTCACTCAAACCCAACCATGTAATTACATTTAGTTAATTGTCAAAAATAACATATCAATTGATGCTGATGGCAGCATTTGGAAATGGCTACAGGTTGTGTTCTAATTACCAAATGCTGTTTGTAATAAGAATATTCGTCACTTAGAAAACAAAATTGACCACATATGAATTCAACCCAAGATTTTTTAGGAGGAAAAGTCAGCTACTATGATTTGGCCACTTGCAAGTTGCAACATAAATACATGAATGCACCATTGTAGACAAGCAATTTAGCCCTTAAAACAAAAGGAGGAAAGTCTATAACTAAAAGTAAAGAACACGTAGGGGCATGAATCCTGTGAAAATAGTCAAGGATGTGATATTATAGAGAAGCAGTTGGAGAACACAAATCCATGTATCTCTTAGTAGGAGTGAAGGGTGGTTGGATTTCGGGAAGCATGTAAAGTTAACGATATCAATTAATGAATTGAATCCAGCAATTGAGCACGAGAATGGTTTGACTCCACCCAAATGAGATGACAACTACATTGAGCGTAAATTTAGAGACAAGCAAAGGATAGGAAGGATGCTAATTGAAAAGTGCACAGCATATTGCAGCTTGGTGGCTGAAAGATCTGTAATTTGTACTCTTCTATGGAATTGGTGAAGTCCCAATGAAAAAAAGATACCCTTTTCTGGAGAATTCTATATATACAAACAACTTCACTTTGTAATGGGTCATTGTCTACATATGCATTTATCTAGCACCTTAAAATTTTCATAAACCACCTAGTATTGTTCACCAAATTTATCGAAAAGAAGACAAAATAGCTAGCAAGTCATAGTTTCTTCAGCATACACCACCAAAATTCCATGCATTGGCTCTTTCTCATGAACTGGCAACAATTTATTATGGTAAATTTCAGAATTGAGATGTCACCGTGTTCAACAAAACTGAGATCGGTGAATTACATCTACAACTGCCCAATCAAATAACTCAATTAGCTTCCTTATTGCGATCAGAAACCCAAAATCAGAATCAAAATCAAAATCAAAATGCCAAAAATTACAAATATTCTTCTAGTCACACTGTGAGCAGATAATCAGGAAAACTACTGAACTTCAAAATTCAACAAAGAAAAAATAAAAACAGATAGGAACCCATAATTTCCCTTGAAATAAAAACACAAAATGCACATTACCCATGAACTAATTCGTGTATAAATGCGACATAAATGTGTAACTGAGCTAAATTAGAGACTTACAGAATAGATCTTGGAATCGAAGTTGGAAGCAGAGGAGATGAGTCGCTTGGCAGCCTGAATTGCCGTAGTGAGATCAGACAAGAAACTCGAATTTGATGAAGACGAAGCAGCTGGAACATCCAAAGGCCTCAAATCGGTCTTGAAGTCCCTAATTTCTTCAAGCAAATGAGCCAAAAGAGAGACCCTCCGAGCCAGATCTGTACAGTCCCTCTTGAAGGCACCTCCAAACCCGGCAGCAGACAACCGTAGCACGTCGCGAACAAGGCGGAGAGCCGCCTGAGTAGGGTCTCCGGCGACGGTGGCGTCTCCGCCGGCCATGAGTGGTGGTGGGAGTGGTGGTGGTTGTTTTCTTTCTTGGTGTGATGGGAATAGGAATAGGAATAGGATTAGTTATAGTATGCAGACAAATGGGTTCACGAGGATAGGTGGGTGTCAATGCAAAGTTTCCATTAAAATAGTAAAATGTAATCATAATTGAAAAATATTTGCTTAAAATATCAATTATCCTATAGTTTAAAAAATTATAAATACTCTTTAATAAAAAATTTTATTTAATAAAACTAATTAAAAAAATAAATTTTTTATTCTCCTATATAATAATAAAATTATTTAAATTATTAATACAAATAAATTTTTGATATCATTAAATACTGTTAATTGGCTTGATTATTTATTAATAAAATAAACTATTTGTTATGAAATTATAAACTCCAAGAGGCTGAATGTAACTTTCAGAATCACAGGAATAATTTGTATTTTAAGTAAATTTTAGGAGATGTATTTTGTAATTTATCCTTAAAAATAATACTAATAATAATAGTTTTGGGGAGAGGAAGGGAATGAAAATATATTAAAATTTTGGGGCACTTTTTCATAAATTCTTTTTCACCTACTTATATTTCATTTAATTCACATTATTTTCTTATGTTCTAATTAGTCCCATGGGTGGCATAATAATCAAAATACTCCTAATAATATTCACATTTACAGTGTAAACGTTCCGTGATGTGAATGTTCACATCATCGATGTGAATGTTAATATGTCAATGTGAATATTCACATTGTAAAATATAAATATTCATATCACCAAATTGCTAACCGTTCAAAAAATATTTATAATGGTAGAAATTTTCATAAAATACTTTAAATGTGAGAATTAGGATTTGGTAAATCAAATATCCAAATAATAGAATTTATTGAAATACAAGAATAACGTATGGACTAATTGAGATACAAACAGTTGAAAAGGGATTATCCAATAAATCTCCCTAAAATTTTGGCTAAATTACAAATATTCTTTTTTAGATTAGTTTAAAATACAAATTAGCTTCTTTGATTTTAAAAATTATATCTTGACATTTCAAGTTTATAATTATATAAAAATGACGCATTTATTAATAAATTATCACGTCGATTAGAATTTTTCAATGATGTGAATATATTTTAATTAATAATTCAAATAATTTTATTATTATATATGAGAATAGTTAGAAATTTTATTTTTTATGTTAATTTTATTTAATAAAAATTTATGACAATTTAGTATTTATAATTTCTAAAAGAGTAAATTGTTGAAAAATCTAAGCTAAAGAGGATATAAGACATTGGTCCAGTGATATATATATATATTTTATTGGTGTGAACTCTACCTTTTGTGAAATAGTTTGGTAAGAAGTCATTTTCTTGTTCTAAAAGGACATTTTGTTTCTAATTTTACTTCTTAATTTATCTGTTGAATTTTTTTATCTGTTGACTTTTTTCGACTATCTGTTCAAATTTATTTAACCTATCTGTTGAATTTTTTTTATCTATTGAATTTTTATATTCTATTTTTTCTATCGGTTCAAATTCACACATTTTTAAAACTCTCTCTCTATCTGTTTCTTTCTCTACCTTTCTTTTATCTCTCTATCTGCTTAATTTTTTTTTCTATCTATTGAAATTTTTATTTGTTCATATTTGATATGAAATTCTATCTGTTACAAATTTTATATGTCTAAATTTTTTTTGCAAATTAAATTTATCTGTTCAAATTTCTTTACTTTTTTTTCTATCTATTCAAATCTCTTTCATCTTGTCTATTTTCTTTCATCATATTCCAAGACACTCACATTAGAATAATTATACAAGATCTGTTATCCTTCTCCCCTACCCTATGTACACAAATATTCATTCTTACACACACCAAGGAGACTAGAATAGAAGAGTCCATCGACTTTTTTTTTAAAAATTTTTAAAAGGTTTAAATAAGTGTTTATAGACACAAAGTAATGTGTTTTCATTTATGGTGTTCTTTGTATTTTTTTTAGTAGAGATCTACTATGATGCTTATTGTAGATAGACTCCTATTTATGCTGACTATCTTTGTTTGATTTTCTTTTTTATGTTTGTATGTATAGGAACTATAACGATTCTAATTTAGACCTCACCCATTTATTATTTTGGATCTAGATTCCTTGTCTTTTCTGGTTGTTCATACCCTTATACATCTTATTCCTCATTGAGTTTGGTTATTAGAATGTCTTGGTTGTGTTTGAAACAGGTTGGGAGTCCGTTTTTCAAAAGAGTTTTTGCCTAGAAGTTCGCTTGTTCACTCAAGCGAAGCTTATTACGCTTCAGAGGTTTTTTACAGTCTGCAAAACTACTAAGAGTTTGATATCTGCGCTCGAACAACGTTTCTTGCACTCGAGCGAACTTTTACAAGTTTGAACTACTGGGAGTAGGGCTACAAACGAGCCAAGCCAAGCCTAGTCGAACTTTAGTATGTTTAGGCTTGTTTATTAAGATTTTAACGAACTCGGGCTCAAGCTAGAGCTCAATAAAAATTTAATGAACCGAGCTCGAGCCGAGTTGGCTTAGGCTTTACTCGAGCTCAAGCCTATTTACGAGCCTTAACAAGCCAAAAAATTTATAAATTCATACTTACGTATAAGACTAAAGTTACAATTAAAACTTTGATTATACAATTATATATACAATATATATAAACATTCTAAAAAAAAGTCAATATTTCATCAAAAAATTAATATCTACTACAACTATTATATAAATGTACTATCCATAGTTAACTATTATTTATATTTATATTTTTTAAATATATAAATAACATATTTATATTATTTTTATACATATTTTTACATTGTTTAATATATAAATAATAAATATTAAACGAGCTAGCTAACGAGCCGAACTTTAGAATATTTGGACTTGTTTATTAAAAATTCAACGAGCTCAAGCTTGAGCTCGAACGGAAAAAAAAATTCAACGAACCGAGTTCGAACGAGCTCTTATCAAGTCGAGCTCAATCTTGTTCATGAACGGCTCTGTTCATTTGCAGCCCTAACTAAAAGGGGTGCATTATGCACTTGAGCGATCATTCTTGCGCTCGAGCAGTGTCTTCATTTGTATCTGTTCGCTCGAGCGGTAACTTTGTTCTCTCGAACGGTCTCACTTATTGTGCCTGGTCACTCGAGCACTCTGCGCGTATATCAGTCCGAAAAGCTCACTTTTTGAGTCATTTTCTTATCTCTCTCTCTCTCTCTACATTTCAAAAACCTAGATTTACATCCTCTCTCTAGAACTCATCTTCTACCCTCAAATACACTATCATCTATTGATCTCTACACCCTAGTCCCTTCGATAAAAAGGTAGAGCTCACCTAGAGCTTCCATTTGATTGGAGCAATGTTGATTTACATCTTCGTCGGGGTTTCTTCACTCTCTCTCTTGCCTTCTAGCTTTAAAGTAGGGATTTCTCTATACTTTTGTGTAGTTTTTAACTTGGTTATTTGCTTTTCTAAACAACATTGTGATTTGAGAATTATTGGATAAATGTAGGGTTTTGGTTTAAAAATCAAAAGAGGGATTTTCAAATGGTTCTTGAATATGATTGTGGGTTTGTAAATGTGATTGAGTTGTGATAAAATGTTGTATTTTTATTTTTGGAATTGATTTATAAAGAAAATGAGATTTTGTCTTAAAATGTAAATATTTGGTTTTGTAAACAGGAAACATAAATGATGTTGGGTTTTATGAAATTGTAATGATGATGATGATGATGATGGTGGAATTGGATATGCATTATCACTCTCATCTTGAAATTTTGAAAAGTTTATCTTTATTGGAAATTATCTATCTGTTTAGGGATATCCATTTTGGGCTATTGGTGGAGGATAACTATGTTTGTTGTAAAAATTGCATAAGAATTAGGAGAATTGAAACTAATTTCTCATCTATTTGCATTGAGCATTCTTGTATATGTAAAACAATGAAAATGTTTATAGTTTTGAAAAAAATGAGTGAATACCATGATGAATCTGGGTATGAGGTGTGGTATTATTGTTGGCCTGTGTGTTCTTAGTGAAAGTCCAAAAATCCATACGGTTAGGTGTCGGGCCTTTCGATTAGTACTGGTAAAAATGACAATTAGTAGTGCTTATATAGCCTGCTTGTAGACACGTACCTACAGATTCTCAGTGTTGTATCCACTGCCCTGTTTTTTATTGTAAAAGAAATGATTTCATAAATTGTGATATAAACTTGGCATTGCATGATTTTGAAAACACTACAACAAAATGCACCTTTGGCGACTAAATTAGTGACTAAAAAAAATTTAGTTGCCAAAAGTTATGGAATTGGCGGCTAAATTTTTTTTTAGTCGGCAAAAGTACAACATTTAGCTATTAATTTTTTTTAGTAGGGGTATATTGGTTATTAGCGACTAAAAAAAATTTAGTCGCTAAAAATTGCCAGAATTGGCGATAAAAAAGAATTTTGGTTGCTGTATATTGAGTTTTGGCTACTAAAACCAGTTAAGTCGCCGAATGAAAAATAAAAAATTATTTTTTTACCTTTGGTGACTAAAATTTTGGTCGCCAAAAGCTTATTTTCAGCGACAAAAAGAATTTTAGTCACCGTAGGTTGAGTTTTGGCTACTAAAATATTTAGTCGCCAAATAGAAAATACAAAATTATTTTTTTTACCTTTGGCGACTAAAATTTGGGTCGCCAAAAGTTTATTTTCAGCGACAAAAAGAATTTTAGTTGCCGTAGGTTGAGTTTTGGTGGCTAACATTTTAGTCGCCATTTGAGTTGATTTGGCTAAATAATTTACTCGTTATTACTTACATTTTTGCCGACAAAATTTGAAATTAGTTGCCAAAGCTGCCAAAATTTTAGTAGGAAAATGAAAACCTATTGGCGCCCTCCCAGGTATTCTCCTTTGTTTAGGAATACAGAGCACTATCTCTCTCTCTCTCTCTCTCTCACACACACACACAAGCACACAATCACCACCAAATCTCACCTTACCTCAGGCGCTTACCACCGGGAAGCATTCGACATCGCAGATTGCCACCGTCACAAATCGCCACTGTTGTAAATCACCACCGCCATGGCCATAATACCAGGTTATATCTCGCTCTTTCTCTCAGTCTCGTGCTCTCTCTCATTCTCGCTCTCGAGCTTGCCATATCCCCAAATCGTATAAAACTTACCCTATACCCTTTCACTCTTATTTCCCAAATCTGTCTCGATTTTGCTCTCTTTCTCTCTCTCTCTATCGATTTTGCTCTCGATATTCCTCTGTCGATTTTGCTCTGTATCTCGCTCTATAAATCGCCATGGTTGTGTGAATAAGAGACCTCCAACGGTACAAACTCCCTCAATTGCTTTATCTGCTAATCTTTTCGTTCTCTTCCTTTCTCTTTCGGATCTCCTCTCTCTTTGTTTCTTCTTATTTTATGATCTGAATATACTTCTAGGGTTTGGATCGAAACATTAAATGCCTTTGGATGACCAGTTATGTTTTTATGAAATTTAATCTATTTCATTTTTTTTGTTGCATTTTATAGGTCTTTGGATTCATGAAATGGGATGCTCACTATTGGTAAGCATGGATTCCCTCATTTGCTTGATAATTTTGACTATAATATTTTAATAAGTTATTTAGCTGTACACTGACGTATTTTCTGGACTTCAGCAATTGTTTTTGCTGAATTCATTCTTGTTTTCTATTGAAGATACCTGTCTCCATATACTAATTTTAAACTTTTTTGGTTTGTTTCAGTACAAGGAAAACCATCAGAGGCAGTTGTGGATATCCAGTATTCAATGATGCAACAAAATTTGTCCATAGCTAATCAAAAAAAGGTTGGATGACTTCCACACTTTGATTGTTAGTTTTTAATTTCATCTGTTTAAAATTTGTAGTTATTACATAGTCTTGTTTATGTTACTATTAGTATTATTTGTTTATTTTATTGGGGAGAATCACTAGATAAGATATTTAATGTTTTCACAAGCTAAGTTTTTGGATTTGTGCAGCATGATGTATAGATTAGTGATGCAATATACAGAGGTGTCGCCATGTACTTGAGATGATTGTTTTGAGGCACTGCTTGTACTTGAATTACTGTACTTGACTATTTCTGAAGTGGACCCTGCTTATATTGGCACATATTTGGGAAATATACATTAGAATTAGCTGATACTTGGATAATATAATTTCAATTATTCAATTACGTTTCAAGATTTTTATATGATTCAATAGTTACATTAAGATAAGGGGGGAACTAAGTAAATTAAAGATAGAGGATGCTTGGCCTAGCAATACACACCACATCACACCACACCACACTATATCTGTGAACTCCCTCCAAGAATCAAGTTAATGTTGTCATTGGTTTCATTGATACTGGTTAGTTTTCTCTCCCTTTCACAGACTAATTGGTTCATTTATTAGACAATGCTACCAATATATGTGTGTACAAATGAGGCATTCTTCATTTATTAGTTCAATTGAGGATGCAAAAAGAGTCTCTGGCTCTTCCTAGGATTAGTAGTTAAAAATTGAACACGAACCAGTCGCTCTGTAGCTAGGGGTCAAGCCCAATAATGGGTTTCTCAAGTTTGATTTAGAAACTCAACAAGTTTCAATAATTTTTGCATGTTGACTGTTATGCTACCTAACATACGACCACCCTCTTTTTTTTTGAACTTGAGACCACTTGTTTAAAAATTAAATGCTAAGCAGGACACAAGCGGAGTTCGAGTTGAGTTCCAATTTATGAATATGTTCAACCTTAACTTATCTACCTAACAAGTTTGATCAAATCAAAACAAGTCAAGCTCAACTGTAACAAAGTAGCACCTAATGATTCAATGGGTTTCATATTTAACTGCTAATCTCTCGCGCTCATATTTAACTGCCAACTTGTGTTGTCGATCTGATGATCTAATGATTTTGCGGTGGTCTCAACCATGTTTTTTGGTCCATGGACTTTTATCCAAAGAAAACTATCATTTAAAGCTATTGAATCATTAGAACATTCAGGTCTCTTCACTGATTAATATATCAGAGTTTTTTGAGAGCCCTTAGCCTAATGTCTATTTATAGTTTGTTTAGAAAAGACATTGCATGAATTACAAAAACTTGTGCATGTTACCTAGCTCAAGCACACTACTATCCCTGTTCTCTTTCATGTAATGTTGTCACCCATGTGACCGCTCTTTGTGCAGGCTACAAAAAGGAGCCTCTTGGGATTTTTACATTTTTTTAGAAACCACTGAGTGCTTCGCTCAAGCTCTTTTGAAGCAGGCTTTGAGTGAGGATCTAGTTTCTGCCCCTTAATCTTGTTTTCACAATTTTTATTTCCAAAATATCAAGGTTAATGTTAAGTCAAATAGGCCAATTTTAGGTAACTAAAACCAGTGTCCCAAAACTAATGCAACATTATTTTTTTCCTGTGCTAAGATAAGCTTAAAACACAACCACAATGGGACTTCAGAACCACTGCTTTGTTTCAAACTGCCACACTAAAGTTAGTCTCCAAATTGTCACAATAAAGAAGAGCAAAAAATATCATTTTGGTTGGCCCAAACTTACTTAGGAAGCTCCTGAAAGTTGGTTATTTCCAGGAATAATTTATGAATCTTAAGTTTGTTTCTAGTGTTGATGTGCCAATTTTGTATTAAAGTAAAAGAACTATTGGACTACTTAGTAATTTGGGGTTGAAGGAGTACCAATATTTTTCAAAAATTATTTTCTTGGGAAAACGAATTTCATTTTATGCCTATTTCAGTTGTCTTGGTATTGTTTGAATGATGTGTGATACTGATCTCGCCACCATCACCATGTGTAATGATATTATGGTTTTATTGATATGGAATGGACATGTTTTATGATCTTAGTGGCTTTGACTTTGCTTTATCTATTTATTTTTGGCCGTGTTTGTGTATAAATAACATGGTTAGTTGGTGGTTTAACTTCAGGTTTTCTAGTTGGCAAAATTGATGTTCACATTTTACATGGGTTCTCTGTTTTAAGTCCATTCATGACTTTAAATTGTAGTTTTAAGATCAATTGAAATTTAAATCATAAAATAAAAAAGTGTTACCAATTGACAGAGAACGCCCGATTTTGGCTTTGGTCATACTTCTTGATCTCAAAGGGTGAATTGGAAATTCCTACAAAATTGATCTCAAGCTTGCTTGGAGATTATAAAACCTAGCAGATTTATGGCTTTAATAACCATACAATGTTAGTGAAAATTTTTATTCTCTTTGTTAAAGTAGCGTTATTCAGTGTAAAATTGTATGAATCGATATAGAAGTCAAGTGTTCTTTATCCACTATTAAAATTGTGTGTTTAAAATTCATGTTCCATTTTTTCATTAAATCTCTAGTCACAATGCATAGGTTCATAGATGTGGGAAGTAAGTAGATATTCTCTAATAGTTAAGATGTCTTGATGTAATTAACCTTATTTTTTATATTGTGCTGCTAACAGTAATCTGAGAAAATGAGATTATGGAATAGCTATTGGCCAACAAGGCTCTTTTAAGAAACCATGTCCTCTAGGCTTTGGTTATTTCAAAGAGGGCTATGTGAGAAATTCATTGGGCTCAATTGAAAGTCTGTGATCAAGTTTTAAAAAGAAAGGCTTAGATTAGCAAGATTTGCCCCCAAAGAAACCTAGGAAGTACTTTCTAATTTCTTAAAAGAGTAATGTGATTATAGGACTTTGAATTATTCCACAATATTATAATCTTTTAATTCAATTTTTTTAAAGAAAGATAATTGCCCTATTTCAGATCTGTGAGTTTAAACATAGCTTGATACTTTACTGTTCTGTTTTTGTGTTTTGTGTTTTTGTGTTGCGAATGATTTTGCAAGATGGACCTTAATTCTACAAATTCTAAGAATTTTATCCTCATGAAACAAATTAAATCATAGAATAAACCCAACAATTGAGAAATGAATTCCCAGGGAGCACATGAATTTTTCTAGTTAATCACTTTTGAATCCCACCTATTGGCTTGAAGCCTGTACTTATTTTTAGTGAATTTACACATTAATAAAACCCTTTGAATTGTTTCTTTTTTTTTTTTGGTGAATAAGTCATAAAATAAAAACAAAAACTTACACAAAATACAAGGGGCATGCCCCAGGCCCTAACAGAACTATACAATAACCAATAAAAATTGGATAGCAACAATGCAGATCCGTCCCAGAAAGGATGAGGGCCCACAAGGACCAAAACAAACAACCTGTTAGAACATCAAAAACTTCAACCAATACCTAATAGAAATATGTGCAGAAGCAACAAACAACACCCTAAGCAAAAGAGAAATAGCTGATGCAAGGAGAATGTTCATGGGCCCCATAGACAAAATATGTGGGCCATGAACATACCTTTGAATTCTTTCTGTTTCTTTTTGGTGGAATTTAAGTTAGTTCAGACTAGCACAAGAAGACTTAGCTCAACTGTATACCTTCTAGGTATCTTGCAAGTAGTCATGAACACGAGAAGGACTTGCATTGATTCATTGGAGAAAATATAATCTGAATGCACAGTGCACAATGTGAATTGTTCTGTCTTCAGATTACTGTTGCAAGGATTAAGATTTAGTCAATAAATTATATTGAAAACAAATGAAATTATGAATTACGTGGCTGTTTAAAAGTTGATATACGAACTTGATTAATTGAATTAGTTGACGACAAGCAGATCAATGAGGATCTTCAATTTGGAACCCCTCTCTTGATTGAAGACTGCATTCAGTTTTTCATATGAGGCTTTGATTGCATATTTCATGTATTGTTGTAGCTGAGAGTAGTTCATTTCCACAACCCTTTGAAATACATTTTTGGACTGAGCAGTGAGACATGAGATTCTTTGACCGTCCACGAGTAACATTGATCCTTCCTTAGCCGTCTTGTTGACAAGTATGGTTTTAGGTATACCAAATATGAATAAGCATATTCGTGGCGTTTGATCTATGATGGCGACTATCAAATATTTGATTTATGATTGTAATTATCAATTAAATATGTAGTCTCTTGAGTTTGTTGAGAATAAAGAATGCAAAAATGGTGTCGCAAGCGTGTACTGAAAAGCTTATGTTATGTCGGTTTTCATTCTAGTACGACACATAAATAGCTGTAGCACAAGCACATGTATGGTGCCTGTCTAATAATTAACATAAATTTGGACTCTCTCTCTGTGATAATGTTTATAGGAGGAGAGGTAGGTTATCATCTTAGCATTCACTGTTGCCATTTTTGTGTTACTATTATTACCATAATGGTTAGTACAATAAGCCTTACTAGTTTTTGGTGTTTGGTGTTGCTTTTGTAAGTATTATGCATCAAGAGCACCATAGCCTATTTAAAAGGGATTAAATTAAAACCAGAGGTGGAGCTTTATGTTAATCAATTTATTGAACAATCTATAGCTAGATCCATAAGTGGCTTGCTATGCTAGTGTTGTTGCTTTTTATGAAATTTGTTAACCCTTTTTTTTGTTAACTAATAAACTGAAGTGCCTCTGGGAAAGAGGTGGGAGTCCAAATTGGGTTCAATTTACCACTAAGTTACAAGTCTCATTGGTGAAGATTTACGGCGTTACGGGGGTGAAAATTTAAAACAGCCTCTGAACCGCCTTGTGGCTAACACGAGCAGCTTCCACATGCCAAATATGACTTGTGACAACTGATGGAATTTTATTCGGACCCGTAGGTTGGGAGTTAGAGCCGAATATGCCAAAATCTTAGTCAAAAAATGGCGTTTCTGGGGCAAAAATTCAAAACAGCCCCCGAACTGTCATGTGGCTGACACGAACAGGTTTCCCATGCCAAATATGACTTGTGACAACTGATGGAATGTTATTTGAACCCGGAGATTGGAATTTAGAGCGGAATACGCCCAAAACTTAGTCGAAAAAGGTCGTTTCGGGGGCAAAAATTCAAAACAACCCCCGAATTGCCGTGTGGCCAACGCGAACAGGTTCCCCATGCCAAATATGACTTGCGGCAACTGATGGAATGTTATTCGAACCCGTAGGTTGGGATTTAGAGCCGAATACGCCAAAAACTTAGTTGAAAAACGGTATTTCGGGGGCAAAAATTCAAAACAGCCCCCGAACCGCCGTGTGGCTGACAGAAATAGCTTCCCTATGCCAAGTATGCCTTATGACCATTGACGGAATGTTATTCGGACCCATAAGTTGGGATTAGAGCCCTATACGCACAAAACTTGGTCGAAAAATGGCGTTTCAGGGCCAAAAATTCAAAACAACCCCCGAACCACCGTGTGGCCAACACAAACAGCTTCCCCATGCCGAATATGACTTATGACAACTGATGAAATGTTATTTGGACCTGTAGGTTGGGAGTTAGAGCCGAATATGCCCAAAACTTAGTCGAAAAATGGTGTTTCAGGGGAGAAAATTCAAAACGGCCCGCGAACCGCCGTGTGGTTGACACAAACAGCTTTCCCATGCCAAATATGACTTGTGACAACTAACGGAATGATATTCAGACCCGTACATTGGGATTTAAAGCCGAATACGCCCAAAACTTTGTCGAAAAGGGTGTTTCGGGGGCGAAAATTCAAAACAGCCCCCGAACGGCCGTGTGGCTGACACGGGCAACTTCCAAATGCAAATCATGACTTGTGACAACTGACGAAATGTTATTCAGACCCGTAGGCTGGGAGTTAGAGCCGAATACGCCTAAAACTTTGTCGAAAAAGAGCGTTTTGGGGGCAAAAATTCAAAACAGCCCCTGAACTGTCGTGTGACTGACACGGGAAGCTACCCAGTGCCAAATATGACTTCTAAGAACTGACAGAATGTTATTCAGACCAGTAGGTTGGGAGTTAGAGCCGAATACGCCCAAAACTTAGTTGAAAAATGGCGTTTCGGGGGAAAAAATTCAAAACAGCTCCTGAACCGCCGTGTGGCTGACACGGGCAGCTTCCCCATGCCAAATATGGCTTGTTACAATTGACGGAATATTATTCGGACACGTAGGTTGGGATTTAGAGCCGAATACGCCCAAAACTTAGTCGAAAAATGGCGTCTCGGGGGTGAAAATTCAAAACAGCCCCCGAACCGCCATGTGGCTGACACGGGCAGCTTCCCCATGCCAAATATGACTTGTGACAATTGACGAAATGTTATTTGGACTAGTAGGTTGGGAGTTAGAATCAAATACGCCCAAAACTTAGTTGAAAAATGGCGTTTCGGGGGCGAAAATTCAAAACAGCCCCTGAACCGCCGTGTGGCTGACACGGGCGGATTCCCCATGCCAAATATGACTTGTGACAATAGATAGAATGTTTTTTGGACCAGTAGGTTGAGAGTTAGAGCCGAGTACGGCCAAAATTTAGTTGAAAAATGGCGTTACAGCGGTGAAAATTCAGAACGGCCTCTGAATCATTGTGTGGTTGACACAGGTAGCTTCCCTATGCCAAATATGAATTGTGATAAGTGACGGAATGTTATTCGGACCCATAGGTTGGGAGTTAGAGCCGAATACACCCAAAATTTAGTTGAAAAATGGCGTTTCAGCGGCGAAATTTCAAAACAGCCCCCGAACCACCGTATAGCTGGCACAACCAGCTTCTCCATACCAAATATGACTTGTAACAACTGACGGAATGTTATTTGGACCCGCACGTTGGGATTTAGAGCCGAATACGCCCAAAATTTAGTCGAAAAACGGCGTTACGGGGGTGAAAATTTAAAACAGCCTCTGAACTACCGTGTGGCTGACATGGGCAGCTTCCATATGCCAAATATGACTTGTGACAATTGACAGAATTTTATTTGGACCCGTAGGTTCGGAGTTAGTGCCGAATACGCCCAAAACTTAGTCAAAAAATGGCATTTCAGGAGCAAAAATTCAAAATAGCCTTCGAACCGTTGTGTGGCTGAGACGAACAGCTTCTCCATGCCAAATATGACCTGGGACAACTGACGGAATGTTATTTGGACCCGTAGGTTGGGATTTAGAGCCGAATACGCCCAAAACTTAGTTGAAAAGGGGCATTTCGGGGGCGAAAATTCAAAACAGCCCCCGAACTGCCGTGTGGCTAACACGAACAGCTTCCCCATTCCAAATATGACTTGTGGCAACTGATGAAATGTTATCAGACCCGTAGGTTGGGAATTAGAGCCGAATACGCTCAAAACTTAGTCGAAAAAGGGCGTTTCGTGGGCGAAAATTCAAAACAGCATCCGAACCACTGTGTGGCCGACACAAACAGCTTCCCCATGCCAAGTATGACTTATGACAACTGACGGAATGTTATTCGGACCCGTAGGTTGGGATTAGAGCCAAATACGCCCAAAACTTTGTCGAGAAATGGCAATTTGGGTGCAAAAATTCAAAACAGCCCCCGAACCGCCGTGTGGCCAACACGAACAGCTTCCCCATGCCAATTATGACTTATGACAACTGACGGAATATTATTCGGTCTCGTAGGTTGGGAGTTAGAGCCGAATATGCCCAAAACTTAGTTGAAAAAGGACGTTTCGGGGGTGAAAATTCAAAACAGCCCTCGAATCGTCGTGTGGTTGACATGGACAGCTTTCCCATGCCAAATATGACTCGCGACAACTGATGGAATGTTATTCAGACCCGTACGTTGGGATTTGGAGCCGAATACGCCAAAAACATTGTCGAAAAAGGGTGCTTCGAGGGCGAAAA